TCTTCTAGGTTATACTACTTATATTTATAACCTATCTCCTAACTGGATTTAGGCTTTAGATTACAACATATTAGCTCTTACGAATCTGCAGAAGATTCTGCAACAAAATAGGTCTTTAATCAAATCTTTCCTAAAAAGTCTCCTTATTTAGAAAGTCAATATTCTTCTTGATTCCACCAGACCTTTAAATTAACGCCTCATAGGACTGCATAATATTCCCAGAATATTCTGCATCTGTTAAATCATAACATAATCCAATTGTTCAGCACAGCTGAGGCACGATATCGTATGACCCTGAGTAGGACATCTTATCCGACATGTTGCTCCTGATGTTGAAACATTTCAACTCAACATGTTCTTCATAAAATAAGACTTCTTGCTCAACCTGTTCTTTATAGCAAGTAATCACATCCTATTTAACATATTGTTGCTATATTTATTTTACTAAAATTAATGTCAATCCTAAAAATAGAGAACTAATAAAAGGTATGATTTATTATGTTTCTAATTTAAATTTAAATCTCCATTTAAAAATGATTTGATCTTCAGCAGCTATAAAAAAAATGACACATGCACATTGCTAAAATGCAACAACAAATCGAATTAAATCATAACTAGAATTTTGCTCCAAAAATGCAACAACATTAGCATGCTGAGTCAGGGTGAGATGTTGAACCCGTGATGGAACATCATGTTCCACATGTGTCCCTTCTTCACCAACACTATAACAACATTGGTTTGTTGGCATAGACTAGATGTTGCAGCACCATGTTGGAACATCTTGTTCCACATGTTACACCAGAGCATTCAAAATAACTCTCTTCATATAAATATTCATTATAGAGTAAATATTGGACCAAATCTTCCTTCAATGTATATCTATTCAAATCTACTTTGATTGAATCAAATCGAAATTGATTTTGGATTAAAAACACAAATTTCTTCCCAAAAACAAACAACTGCATCTTCCGAAGAAGTTAACACCATTGTTCTTCTGAAGGAAATCCAAAGATAGTCAAAACCAAAACCTTATACCAAGATGATACTCAATTTCATGTTGAACCTTCTTCTTAATAATTTATGTCAAGCACTTTAGATATATGTTAAACCCCTTGCTTAACTATTTCTCTCAAGCACTTTAACTTTAGCTACATCTTGGAACCTCTTACTTAACTGGTTTTGTCAAACACTTTAGCCAAACAACTCTTACTTAACTGGTTTTGTCAAACAATTTAGTTGAAGAACTCTTCTTAGCAACAAACACAATCACACATATGTTATAACACATGCTGGAAATCCTTATTTTACATGTTTCCTAAAATACATCTTGTAGATATGTTTTTTAACTAATGCGACCAAATAAAAGGAACTAACATCTCCCCATTTGGAAAATTTTGGCTAAAACAACCTACAAGATGTGATCATCATGAAGTAGCTCAATTAGCACACCATATCACACATCAGAATCCACACAGCAAATAACAACAACAAAAGTAGCACATACGTAAGGTGATTTCTACACATCAAGATATCAACTCCATCATGCCAGAAAATTTTGGCACCCTCATCCTATCCCACATTGATAATTACTCCCCCCTTTGCCACAATTTATCAAAGGTATGAAAAGAACCACAAAACAACATCAAGCATAGTCAATACTCCATAACAGTCAGTCATGCAATCACAATCTCAGTCATGCATGAACCACATAATTAGTAGTTAAGTTAGAATCAACAACATATACTAACAAAACACATATCAACACACATAATTATGGGCCAGATGCTTTACCATGTGAGTACACACACGATAAAAACAATTAGTAACCCAACATACCAAGTAGAATCACTCACACCAGAGTCAGGAACATAAATCAGCTTCATGCCACATAGTCAGTAATGTCAGTAGTCAGATCATACTAACCTATGAAATTAAAAAGTGGAGGAAACAACAAAAAAATTAAGGTGAAATATCTCAAACATTTCTTCATCAAAAACTAGACCAGATTCATCAATTGGTACACAAATGCTAAACATAATGTCAAAGACTTTTTTTCCCAACATTGAACTTGTATCTGGTCCTCAGTATCCCATGAGGAATACAATCATCCTTAACCTCAATATTCTATATCAACCTAGACTAACTAGCTCCATCAAGGAACATTGTCTTGAATAACTACGCATACCTAAGAAGCTCCATGAGTTCATTAGAATTCAGTGCTTCAACAAACAAATCTTCTGCATCCTCTTTTGCAGTTCCTTCTTTTTCCTCAGTTCCCTTTTCCTTAGTCATAGAGGGAATCTTGTTTTTTCTCAATTAATTAATATTTGAAGATAAAATATTTACACACTTTCCTCTATTATACATTGTTAGTTCCATGATTTTATGATTGGCTAAATTTTGATAAAACATTGTTCTATACTGATATTGAGCAAGATGTTATAACATCTGCATCATGTGTCATGACCGTTTTGTTGTTATGGGTTTTTCAACCAGATGTCGAAGCAGATGTCATGACATCATGGTCTGGTACATCAGGAACTATTGTTCTATATCTCTTCACTAGTTTGATTTGATTTTCTAATATTCCTTTTTGGATATATCTTAGTTATTTTCTCTTTTCAAGAAGATATAAATGGAACAAGAGATTTCATCTACAACTGTACAAGAGTTTCTATTTTAAGAAACTTGAAGATGTGTTCCAAGATTTAAGGAGATATCCTCGGAAGAAATTAACATACGGATCAAGAAGTAATTGGGCAGAGGATTCGAAGCCCATGGACAACTGAAGACTATAAAAATAAAGACCTAGACATAATGTAATTTAACTTTCACAATTGTAAAATTAGGGGAAGTCTAAGTCTTAGGTTTTGATAGTCTATTGTGTTCTTGTGTTTGTAAGTCACCCTTGGATCTTTTAATACTTGTGGTAGACGTAATGTTCTCACTCAGAGGCCTTTAGGTAATGAGTTGAGTATTGTTCTTGGGGGAAGCTTTTAAAAAAAATAAGTATTATTCTTAGTTAAGATTATTAACAAAGTATTATTGATTTGAAGTGTAATCTTCTATTAGGTTTTCTTTTATACCATCATTGTGATTGTGATTGGTTTAAGTCTAGTCACAAGGTTTGTGGCTGTAGGTATCACTGTGATGATAGGAAGTGAGATGGTGATTTCCAATATCTAGGAGGTTCCTAGGTAGAAGTTACATTGGATAGGGATTAATTGATAAGTTGTAAATTGGGATTATTTAGGCTTAGAATTAATACTATTGATAGTGAATTTCCTTCTTGGATTCATAGCCTCTAGATGTAGGTGATGTTGCACCGAACTGGGTTAACAATTGTATGTGTTCTTTATCATTCTGCATTTAAATTCTGCAAATGATTTCAGTTTGATATTGTTGTTCAGTATGTCTATAAATGTCGTAACATATGTCCTAACATCATCTTCTGATATTGGAAATATCAAGATAAACATGTGTGTTGTATGTTCCAGAAAATTTCAATTGGCATCAGAACGGGCACCCTGGTCTATTGGGTGAGCTTCAGAGAGTAATTTTCTTGTACTATTTGGTTAAGATGATAGCTTTTTGGGAATTAGTGTGACAACTAATGATGGTTGTTTGATGCTTCTGTGAGCCTACTATAGTTGTTGCTTTCATAACTACTGATGGTTGTGTTAATTTTATAACTACTGATGGTTGTAATAATGTTGCTGACAACTACCGATGGTTGTTTTATTTTTATGTCACAACTACTAATGGTTGTGCTGCTGTTACAACCACTAATGATGGTTATTTGTGTGCTGATGTTGTCACAACTACTGATGGTTGTATTTATGTATGATGTCCTGCATGATGTCCTGACATCTTTCCTGGAGTATCTTGAGGCTTTTTTTTACTTATGCTCATATGCCTCTGATGTAAGAACTCTGGTAGTTCATATTTGATGTTTCTGGTGTTAAGGCTAAAGAAAGAAATGTTCTTGAAAGCCAGAATAGGATGAGTTATTTCTTATCTTTGTCCATAGAATTTATAAAGATTTGTTAGGCTGATAAGGATGTGTTATATGGCCAAAGTTGCTTGGGATTTTCTCAAGACCTCTCTTAGGCACATCTAAGGTGTAGATGTCTAGTTTCTCATATTTCACCCTGAAAGCTTGAAGTAGGAAGAAGATGAAAGAAATTAGTGAACTTTTATAAATTCCCTTGTAATAAAAATGCTTTCAGCTTTTTGGGAGAAGATATTTTATTCTCATGTCTCTTATCAAGAGATTTTACTTGAAGGTGACAGCCTATGTAAAAGTTCAAGTCATTACCAGTCGGGAGTAAGATAAAGGGGAGAGCATTATGATCTAGATTCTGATGAAGGGTTATCCTATGATGCTGTATTACTGGGGAGGTAATTTCAACCAGGTACCATAAGAGTGGATAGAAGGTCAATTCTCTTCCCATTAACCATTCTCCTTATGGTGGACACAATATTCTGGACATTTGCTTCAACACTTGTCTTAGATTCACATGTTTGAACAAGCCTTTTATTCTTTTTAGATTTGACAAGGGAAACTTGTTCATCCCTCCTCTGAGTTTGAAACTCAGTTACTAACATGTCATACCTATTGTCTGGCACAACCTGTTTTACATCTTCATTACCACCTTTGGTGATATCTTTAAGTTGTTGGTTTGTCCACAATAGTTAAGTATAACTAATTCCTGCATATATAGTTTTGGAATTAAATGAGTAGTCCTTTATTTGCGTCACTTGAAAAAACGAAAGTAGGTAACATCTCCTACCATGCTCAACTCAAAATCAGACTGCATTTGATGAATAACATGTTCCACTATCTTGTCTAACACGTCCTCAACATTCATGTGAGCTATATAAATATTATCATTGTGTTTCACAATGAAATCCTCCAGCAGCTGAACATCGCCTTCAAATATCAAAGCTTCTTTTGACATTTTCCTTTCAAGGGCTATCCACTTATGATACAAATATTTCTACTTCAACACAATTTCCTCATAATGGAAAGACACCTTGTATAAGGAAAAAAAAGAAACATTTGTGGGAATCCTGTTCCCATCAACTATTATCTTTGACTTCTTGTCTTTCCTTTTACACAAATCAACATCTTTAGTAACACCTTCATTGACTGGTTCAGGCTCATCATGAACTTCATTGTTCATAAGGGTAAAACCCTCATCAATACTGACAATATCATTAACAAAATAATGAATATTGTCACTCACATTAATCACCACATGATCATTTTCTTGATTAACCTTGTCAAGAGGCTTGGTTAAATTCTCCCTTATTCTTTTCATTATATTAGCAAAAGGAGATTTTTCAACTTCCTCATAATCACCCTTCTTAATGACACCGTCCTTGTCAGTGGCGTAATTACTGACATCCTAATTTGAGTACATGTTAAGAAAGGAACTTTTCACATCCACTTGGTTTGAACTTCAGAATACATTACAAACTTGGTATAAATATGATGGCTCCAATATGGGCAATACGATTAAAAGTTTCAGTATCATAAAAACTTCCATCTTCTTTAGTAGATAGCATAGTGTTTCTTGATTTTTCAGTAACAACTAGATCCACATTAAGACCAATGAGATCAAAATCTTCACTGTTGACAATAACATTTATCACATCTTCACACATTGTCTCCAAATCTTCTACTACATGATCATGGTTATTAATAACATCATTATTGGCTAGAACAATATCAACCTCAACATCTTCATGGACATGATCGTCATTTTTCTTATGCATTTGAGACTCTGTCAACATGTACAACAAGATGTATGGCACATATTTATCACCATCCTGATTTCCCATATTGGTTTCTTGGGTCTCCTCATCAAAGCCCATTTGAATGAGATGATGATTTCTTCTAGGCCCATATAGGAGGGATACATCAATCACATTTTCACCAGCATGTGGAATGTTGTGTAGAACAATATCTGGAATATACATCTTATACCAAAGTTTCAACTGACTCAGATGAACACTTATATCAAACATGCTACTATGTTTTTGGTTGATCAAAACTCTGCAGATATGAGAAGGAACTCCAATAGTAATAATTTTTCCATAATCATTATTCTTCTTAAGCTTCTTCTTCTAAACCGTTGTTGCTTGTTCAATGCCGGGAGGACCTCCAGCCTAACCATTATTAGTCTTCCCTTTAATGACGCCTCCTTTCTTAGTTCTCAAAAATTCCATATGTGATAATTTAGAAGTATGAGTAAGATGTTAAACCATCTTGTAAGACATATTGATTGGCTTCTTAAGTTGGAAAACTTTATGACTACTTGTAAAACCCTAAACTTCGATTCTTAATATAAAAGATAAGTTCACACTTATGGATGTTACTAAAAAAAATAATACATACTTTCTTTCAAAAAAATTTAACCAACTCGCATCAGAAATCAAAATAATGACATAACTCTGTTATACCCCATTTCCCCCCCTAAGATTTTTCATTATCTAACTTTTATCAATACATCAAGATCACACATTAGAGTTGGTTCTCCATTTTTTCACCCTATCTTTAAGTTTGATCTTGAGGGATCACCAAACACCTTGAATTGTGTACCTTGTACATGTTTTCTTAGACTAACATATATATATATATATATATATATATATATATATATATATATATATATATATATATATATATATATATATATATATATATATATATATATATATATATATATATATATATATATATATATATATATATATATATATATATATATATATATATATATATATATATATATATATATATATATATATATATATATATATATATATATATATATATATATATATATATATCTTTGAATGTTCATATTATAGTTTATCACAATTACATTCATCTCACCATCTAACCTAGGTTTTGAGGGTTGGTTCTCAGTCAAATGGTTCTTTAATGGATCACAAGATCTCCTCAAAGTTGGTGGTGAAATTCATCAAGAAGATTCATAGGTTCATGCGTTTATTTACATGCCTTCTTCAACAATATTCATTTAGACTCAAGCTCCATATTTGAGTGTACTTCAAGACAACATCATTTCAAGGCCTCTTATGATTCATCATGCTTTATTTTTCCAAGAAAGATCAAAAGATTCAAGGTTGGCTTAACAAGTTTTACCTAATTGAGAAAATACTAGATTCAGTGATCACATGTGCATAACTCTCTCAATTTTAAACATTTTGAGTTGGTTCTTTTTGCTATGGATTCTTATCATCATCTACAAGAACCTCTCTTAACATGACAAGATCCAATTGTGCAAGAAAAATCATCAAAAGTTGAAAGTGGTTTCAAGTCATTTTGACACTCTCTAAGCTAGGGTTTGTTGACTTCTAAGGACCATATCTTGCTCATTTTTTGAGATATTTTGAGTGACTCCAAATCTAAGATTCTCTTTAAAAGGTCCTTAATAAGCTCTCTTCAGATATCTAAGGCTAATTATGAATGGAATATCATTAGAATTTGTGAAAGATTACAAGCCTCCTTGAAGAGCCTTTGAATTTTAGGGTTTGACTTCAAATGATCATAACTTGGTCAATTTTTATCTCCTTGAGCCCATTATTTATCCACAATAATCTTTGGGATGTCAACTACAACTTTTTTTAATGTGAAAGACTCAAAGATGCTTGGAAATTGGTTGAAGATTTGAAAAGATTATGGGTCTTTTGTGAATTTCGTCAAATTTGTTCATCATCTTCCAAAGACCATAACTCTTTCAATTTTTATGATTTTTTAGTGATATCAATTACACAATTCAATTCAAAGGGTATACTTCATGCCATCTTCAGATATGAATATCAAATTTTGAGTGGAAAGTAATTTAATTTTGAAAAACATTATAGGTCATTTTGAAGTTCAACACTTGAATTTTTTAGTATAAATTATCTATGTGTTTTTCAGAAATTCAAATGGACATAACTTTTTGCTCAAACATCCAAATGATATCTTTCTTGGAACATTATGAAGTTTGTTGTGAGATCTTTCCATTGCAAAAATAAAAAGAGATCATAAAGCCTCCTACATTGTGTTCCCCATGCTCTTGAAGTTGCTTCCATGAAACTGAATTTTTGCTTGCAGTCAGTTTTCAATTTCCATATTGAGGCTTCTAATGACCATTTTGCTGCACATTTTTTATTTAAACATATTTAACAAAGTTCCAAAGTATGATTAAAGCATTGAAATGCTAGAATTAGTTGAGTTTTGAGAAAGTTCAAGTCACACTTTTCTCATTTTCTGGCTTCACTCAATTTCCCTCCAAACATCACTATTTCTTCCAATTCCTTTCACCATTCACTCTCCTATAAATAGAGGGACATATTGCACTCATTTCCCCATGCTTGGATAGCCAAAATTACCCTGCCACTTTCTCTCCACAACTCAGTTTTTTGTGTTTTCGAATTCACACTTTTTTTATTTTTAAATTCAATTTCTTGTGCTATTCTTCTTTGGTGAACTTGTTTGGAGCTTCTCAAACAAAAAGCAAGCCAAATTGTGCTCTATTTTGTTCAAGCAAAGTCAAGTTTTAGTGCAACTACAGTGGACTTTGTTTAGGTAGATTAAGATACCAATTCTTCTAACTCAAATTATTGGAGTGATCTATGATGTTCGTTAATGCTTGATATTAACTTAATTTTGGTGAATCAATGCATTTGATGCTTCTGTTTTTTGATTTCAAAATTTTCAAAACTCTTTGGTTTTTTCCAAATCGAATAAGTTGTGCTTTATATAAATTTGGCGCGAGGATATGATTATGATCGTCTTGAAGAGACTCGTCCAATGATACCACAATGAGCATATAAATACACATATTTAAGAATCTTGATCTTGCCCTAGTTGCAGGGTAGCTGGAGGTTGAAGATGACTTACGTGTCTTCTTCAACCAATGAGAGCGTGACAATTGAAATGTTGTAATTGGACTGACTTTTGTGACTTTAGTGCGCGCTTGTTGACCATACATCATCATAAATCATCACTCCTGAGCCATTAGATGTGCCATTGTGTTTTAATGAGCCAGATCCAACACCTCATATTATTTCTGATTTATTTTAATTTACAAAATTTGTTTTAAAATTTGATTTAATTTCAAAAATTCATAGCTCTCTTATTTTTTATTCATAAATTATGAAAAAAATATACAAAAATACTTTGGATTATTTCTGACTTTGTGAATATTTTTTCATATTTTTATTTTGATGTTTGATATTTTTTAGAATTTTTGTATTGTTTTCCCTATTTTAATTTTGTTTTAAAAATACTTTTTTTGATTTTTTAATTCTGGAAAAATTATGGAAGGATCCAATGACCTCTTGACAAATATTGGTGACTCATCTCATTTTAATTTCTGATTTTGCTATTTTTCACAAATTTTTGTTTTTTTTGCTTATTTCTTTAAATTTTAAACATAGTTACTAACTTTAAAAAAATTCTAAAAAAATTTGTCAAAACTTATTGAATCATGTTTGACCTTTGACTTTTTTTAAAGGATTTTATTTGGTATTTTAATATACTTTGTGTATTTTACCAATTATTTCCCTTTTATTAATCGCTTTAAATATTGTTTTATTAAGTATTATTTTATTATTTTTGTTTGGTCCTGATTTGGGTGTTATTTTGGGACAAGTTCCTCAACCTCATTGGATCTTGGATGTTGATAGATTGAAAAACAAAATCCACCAAAATGGATGAATGATGTTGATGATATTTGAAAGCCTAATTTCATCTGATACATTCCTTCCATCTTCATCTTATCTCTTTCTTATTTGTGCTACTTGTTGTTGAAAAATGATCTATATATCATTTCTCTAACATGTGGTGCATAAATTGCTATTGACCTGCCTCAAAATAGGTGTGACTTCTACATATGTCCACTTACGATTGCTTAACATAGCACTAAATTTGTCCGGATTAAAAAAATGACCATTCGTGGCCCAAACCTCCATTTGCAAGCCAAATATGTTTAATTTGGAACCTTTAATCCGATAACCTTGAGGTTCATTGTTAGGAGGTTTTGATCTTATTAATTCTCTAATGAACTTTCATGAATTTTGGTCTAAGCGAATTATTTAAACATCGTTGATCATATATGCTTGCCCCGAGTACTTGAAATGAATGATATATTTGACAAAAAGAAAATGAAACTTATTATTGAGAAGCTTTGATTTTATCAATCTTTTAATGAGTTTTCAAATTCAAGTTTCAATATGGTCATTCAACTAACCTCTAACTTCTAATTCATTAACATTTAACTTTGACTTTATACTTTACTTTGTGCTTTTAGTTTGTGATTTTAATTTATGCCCTTTATTTTATGCCTTTACTTTTATGCACCATTTACTTTAGCATTTACATTTCATGCTATTTTCATCTTTTCTCACTTGAGTATTTATCTTTATGTAATTTTATCTTTGCTCACTTGAGCATTTATGTTTATGTCATTTTTATTTTGCTCATTTGAGCTTTCTTTTGTTTTTGAAGACACTTAATAACAAACTTAAACAATAAAAAGCCTCAAGGTTACTTGGACTATTTGGTTACTATTTCTGACATAATGGAGTTGTTGACTTCTTGGACTTAGGATTAGAAACTTTAATTACCCTTGGGACCTTGTGGCTCTGTTGTTATTTTTTATGGAGTTCTTGGGGTTCACCCTAATACATTGGGTTGATTTTCTTTGTGTGCAGGTTATTCTGATTATATGCTTTGTCTATGATTGAGAATTGTTCTGTATACAACTGTTACTCTGCCCAATTTTTATAAATACTTAATTCATCTGAAGCTGGTATTCTTAAGAGGTTGAGTACTTTTTCTTGCTTAGTTTCAATTCAAAGGATGAGATTATACATTGACTCTTTATGTCAAGTATTGGCTTCTTGTTGGTTAAATTGTTCTTTTCCTTAACTTTTACTTTATGCTTTAGGATAGTCTCTTCATCTCCTCCCTTCTTCTTTAATTTCAAAATATTCTCCCTCCTTTTCAAAAT